AAAAAGTGTCACTGGATTGACGAACAGCGCGAGAAAAAAAAAAATACACGGAGTGTTATCGTACTGCAGTACATCTAAGATAAAACATATAAACATATATAAACGCATTCATTGTGACATGTTATTTAACATCTTTGTTAATCCCTACAAGTTTTATACTGTGAAATAGACATCATTAGTAGTGAAAATTTCCAATGTAACAATATCCTTTATTATACATTTTTTTCAATATTTTGTTGTATGAATGATGTTGTCTGATTGAGTAAATATGTTGCGAACACGAGGAGGCCAGTGTTACGTTAAATGGTTAGGATTACAATTCATGATTACGAAAACCAATATCTCACCTCAATGATTGTCGATATACAAGGTATTGTGTCAGCCGACCGATCATTTCTGTTTAAGGAACTGACTTCTATTGCAATAGACTGCACATCTTTCACCCATTGGATGTTCAAACATCCAAAAATTATCAAATTACATAATACTCACTAAGGGTATAAGGGTCAACTGACACAAAGTAAATAATAAACGAAATAACAGAAAATTAATTAAATAATTTAAGGAAAAAAAATAATAAACCTTGTCAATCATAAATTGTTAAATTATATAAACAGATTTGATATTAAGAAATCAAGTAAACAATAAGAATAAAAGAAAATAATTAAGTATTGCTACTGATAACGTAGGAGCCATTATAAGATTGAACGATTGAACGTCGCTCAAGTGGTCGACAATGCGTAAATTTACATTTATCGAAATCGTGGCCGTTAAGAAACAGTTCGTCATGTACGAAGCGAAGGTGACCATCGGCTGAAATTGGTTCGTTGGTGTAACTACGTACGGATCGTAGCGTAGCTTCATCCTTAATGGTAATAACGTCGATTGCTCAATCTTTGAATTCACTTGGTGGTGGGAACTCTTTCATGGTATAGAGTGTTTGGTTACGAAATGGTCCCATTATCTTGAATGGTTGGGTCCAAAGACCACACATTCGGTCCTGAAGTTATACCAAATTTTGTGTCAAATGTACATTTTAAACTAATATAAATAAAATAATCTCGTAAATATTATGACGACACGGAAAGTATAAAATGTTTTTTTCTAACCATTGTTCTAACAAAACAAAGGTACCTCCAATCCTGCCTAAACGATAATTAATATTACTATTTATATTTTCAATTAAATTTTGAAAGATACAAAATTATAAATAACAGGTAATATAGTTTTAAATAAAACTAACAACACGAAAAACGGTGATTTTTTACACAAAAATAATAATTTTCGTTTAACTTCGACTGAATAAAATAGATAATAATAAACAATTGTTTTATTTAGTGGCTGTAGTATTAAAACACATAGCTTTTACGTGGTTTGTTAAACCCCAATCGACCAATGTTTAATATATAGCCTCAGCCTGTGATTTAGAAGTTCCGTTTAACATCTTTGGTACTACTAAGGCCACGATCACACGAGCGTTGAAAGAACGGACGTTGCAACGGACGTTAAGTTATAACGGACGTCACTACCCTAGTCACACGAACGTAAAATAGAACGTCAGTTGTTAATTTAGCATCCTACAAGATGGACGATTTGGATACCGCGATTTTTGTATACTCCGCTATACGAGTATTACGAAAAAAAAAACGGGTGAATCGGAAATGGTGGGTTCATCCAATAAATAGTGAACGATTATTAAATGGTGCATTTTACAATCTGTATAACTTGCTAAGAGCAGACAATGCAAAATTTTTTAATTATTTTCGCATGTCTCCAAGCACATTTGACGAGCTGTTTAATAATATTAAAACAAATATAATGCGTCAAGATACAGTTATGAGATCTGCGATACCAGCAGAAGAGATGTTGGCAGTTACTTTAAGGTAATTAATAATAAAATACACAAAATAAATAGTTATAAAATTTTATTATATATAATTACATTAAATATATTAGCATTTATCAAATTTATATTTAGTGAAAAATTAAAAAAAAAAATAAACCTTTTATTATGCTATTTGTGCAAGAAAATTAAAATTATACATTACCTTGTGTATTATTTCAAATTTACATAGTACTTGTTGACGTATTTGATGTTAAGTTTTGTTCGTCTGGAGAAAACTGACTAAAATATCCAGTATCAGAATTGTTTGATGACAATTGTGAAAGTGTTCGAGCTGTACTTGTTTGTGTCAATTCGTTATGGTTGTACATCGGAGGGTGTTGTATTGTAGACGGATACACAGGCATAGATGTGTTATAACTATGATTTAAAGTAGATATCGGTACACTAGAATAAGGGTTGAAAATTGTACCAGGTGGTTGGAAATATGGAGGTGCGTTATTGGTTAGCTTTATACGTTGTAGAAGCTGCATAAGTTGAATTCGGAATTGTATTTTTTGTTCCATGTTTAGCATCTTAACTAATGGCAATGTTGACTTATAGAAGTTTAGGTCCTCATCATCAGTATCTCGGCTTGGTTCATTATTACTTTGTTGTCTGGAGTCCAAAAACAAAGCAAGTTTTTCTTCTAAGTTAATTTTCTTTTTTTTAATAGGTGGAGGTGTTAAAACAGTTTTTCCTGTATTATTTATATGATCATTTGTTAAACTTTCATCTGCTGTAGCTGTAGCATCTGACAATTGCGTTGCATCACCATCTTCATCATTTAAATCTGATTGAATACTACTAGTAGTGGGACGAAGTTCTCTAACTTTTTTTAAAAATGAGAGCTGTTCTTCAAAAATGTAACGTTGAATTTTTTTTTTACCACTGCCAGACTTATTGCATTCTGCTTGTTTTCTTAAACTACGAACATAATTGTCGCGTACACTTCTCCATTTTGATATAAGATCTTGTACTGTGTAAAAATTATGTTAAATACTGTAAATTATGTTAATTACTGTAAAATTAAAACTATATTAAAAATATTACTAATTTTTTGTGGCTATGAGTTTAATATTTTTAATATTTTTTAGTTTTTATAAATTAATAATATTTTTCATATAGTTTTAATTTTACTCAATTAATTAGTCACAAATGATCATTTTTTATTATATAATGTAAATTTATGTTTGTTATTTTATATTTTTATTCACACATCCAATTTGCAGATACCTGAGTAGTACAAACAGTTTGCAAGATTTACACTACGAATTTAGAATTGGTAGATCGACTTTATGTGGAATTATACGGATAGTGTGCTTGAAAATATGGGAAGTTATGCACGATGAATGTATACCAACACCAAATGAAGAAAAATGGCTGGAAATCGCAGAAGGTTATCAACAACGAGCACAATTTCCTCATTGCATAGGTGCTATTGACGGAAAACACATCGAAGTCATCAAACCACGTGGTAGTGCGTCTCAATACTTTAACTATAAACAATTTTTTTCTGTGGTTTTATTAGCAGTGGTTGACTCTAATTATTGTTTCACGTTTATTGATGTCGGTTCCTTTGGAAAGGACTCGGACTCTACAATATTTAAAAACTCAACTTTATATAAGCATCTACAAAATAATTCTTTAAATGTTCCAGAACCTAATCTAATAAATGGTATTCAGATACCTATACCATATGCATTTGTGGGTGACGAAGCTTTTGGGTTGTCGACAAATTTGTTAAGACCATATTCAGGAAAATGTTTACCAGTTAATAAAAGAATTTTTAATTATCGACTTTCACGCGCACGACGCCATGTAGAGTGTGCGTTTGGAATTTTATCCAATAAATGGAGGATATTTCACCGCCCCATAGATGTTGATGTAGAATTAGCAATTGATATTGTAAAATGTTGCTGTGTTTTGCACAATTTCGTTCGCACACGTGATGGATATAATTTTGAAGATTCTCTAACAGTAACTGGTATGCAAGATATTGAACTAGATAATAACTTTAATGTAAACAGATCTATTAACAGATATCGTGATGCACTGGCAAATTATTTCAGTAGTGAATTAGGACAAGTGCCATGGCAGATGGAAAAAATTTAAAATATTATGTACGCATGTTTATGTTCACCATTTTTTTAGTTAATAACTTAATAGTAATACACTTATTTAATTAATAATATCATATGAAAATAAATGAATATAGTCAGTAGGTACTCACTAATTATTTTTTGTTCTGTTTGAGTTTGTTCAACAAATTTTTCAAATAAAACAGTAGCAACTTCCATCCAGCCATCATTTTTCTTATTCCTGTCTTTATACATCTCGTCATTTACATCCCATAAAACTGGACGTTTTTCTATTTCCGTTATTAAAAGTTCTATATCCATTTTTAAACTTTACTATTTTAATTATTGAACGATTTTCACGATTAACGTGCGTCAAAATAGCGTTCGTGTGACCGAGTCGATAATATTCAATAATAAACAACGACGTCCGATAAAAGTTTTTTACGTCCGTCGTAGCATGTATCAGACGTCGTCGATGTCGAGCGGACGGGAAATCCGACGGACGTCAAGTGTGTGACCGTCGTGAATTAAATCACATAATTCAACAACGGACGTTATGACGTCCGTCGTAACGCACGTCAGTAAAACGCTCGTGTGACCGTAGCCTAATAGTTGGTCATTTCCATTATTTAAATTAATTATAGGTAGTCTATTAACTATTTGTTTACTACATAAATCAGGTAATAATTTGCCGTCCCAATGTAAAACTAAGGCATTGAGATTAGTCACAGAAAATTTGTGTCGAATTTCTGTAGCTAAATTCCAACGTATTTTTTCACGATGTTGTTTAATTGATGACCTATCTAATTGATAACTATGATATCATTAACATCATGCCCTAATGATTCAGCCACTGCAATTATAATGTGCACTGCGTCTCGGTCGCCTATTTTGCACCTATCTAATGCTGAAGATAACTTTACAGTCATTATGTTTATTGTACCTCTTTGTTTTATGGAGCTTGATATTGGCAAAACATTAGTTTTATTAGACGGACCCGGTGAAAAATTAATACCTTCTAAATTTAATATTGATCTTTAGTTTTTTTAACATTGCCATCAAACAAATTACTGAAGTTATCATTGTTTACAACTATAAAACAATATAAATTAATGAATTTAATGATGTATAAATCGTTATAGATAATTTATAGATCGTAATATTTTAATCTAACTCACAATCATCAGGCAAACTTTCTTCTGTGACGACCATGTATTGAACAATTCCTCTAATTTTGGTAAACAATTACGAACTTCTTTAGTAGGTATTCGAGCTTTTTGCCAGAATATCAATGTTTCATCGATCACTAAACGCTCACTATCACGAACACTCAAATTAACTTCTGGAATATTAAAAAATAATATCGATAAAACTTGTTTATTTGATGGTAATTTACATTCAGCGAGTTGATGTGAACTATTACCAATTAAATAAATACTTTTTCGTAAATTTCTTTTAGTCTCCATTAAATAAAAAAGTAATAATTGAGTTTAAAAAATCATAAAATACACAGACTATAGATTATCTCGATGAAACCTCAATATTAAACGTTAACGTTTATTATTGATGTAAAGATATGAACTAAAATCCTGNTCGAATTTCTGTAGCTAAATTCCAGCGTATTTTTTCACGATGTTGTTTAATTGATGACCTATCTAATTGATAACTATGATATCATTAACATCATGCCCTAATGATTCAGCCACTGCAATTATAATGTGCACTGCGTCTCGGTCGCCTATTTTGCACCTATCTAATGCTGAAGATAACTTTACAGTCATTATGTTTATTGTACCTCTTTGTTTTATGGAGCTTGATATTGGCAAAACATTAGTTTTATTAGACGGACCCGGTGAAAAATTAATACCTTCTAAATTTAATATTGATCTTTAGTTTTTTTAACATTGCCATCAAACAAATTACTGAAGTTATCATTGTTTACAACTATAAAACAATATAAATTAATGAATTTAATGATGTATAAATCGTTATAGATAATTTATAGATCGTAATATTTTAATCTAACTCACAATCATCAGGCAAACTTTCTTCTGTGACGACCATGTATTGAACAATTCCTCTAATTTTGGTAAACAATTACGAACTTCTTTAGTAGGTATTCGAGCTTTTTGCCAGAATATCAATGTTTCATCGATCACTAAACGCTCACTATCACGAACACTCAAATTAACTTCTGGAATATTAAAAAATAATATCGATAAAACTTGTTTATTTGATGGTAATTTACATTCAGCGAGTTGATGTGAACTATTACCAATTAAATAAATACTTTTTCGTAAATTTCTTTTAGTCTCCATTAAATAAAAAAGTAATAATTGAGTTTAAAAAATCATAAAATACACAGACTATAGATTATCTCGATGAAACCTCAATATTAAACGTTAACGTTTATTATTGATGTAAAGATATGAACTAAAATCCTGTAGTTTATGATATCGCATGTAAACAACATAGTTAATAATAATAGGTATTTTTTAGTAGGTAATATCCAATCTGACCATACTATTTCGATAATATTTATAACTTGTAGAAATCAACAAACAAAAATAATCTATTTGTTTGTCAATATAAACGTATATTATAATAAAAAAACTTTAGAAATGAATTTTTGTTATTTTGTGATCGAAGAGCCGTTTTATGGAAAAAGTTCTAAAGACAAATATTATTGAAAATTTAATTCAAAAAATATTTTATCATAAGATATATTTTCCTATCGTTAATACTTTAGGATATAATCGCAAAAAACTGCGCAAAAATAAATACGCTCATTTTTTTCATTTGATTACCAAATTTCATTAAGTATTGATTATTACTTTATAATAAAGATCTTTAAATTAAATAATATATCTATATATATATATATTTAATTTTTTATTACTTTTTAGATTTCTTTTCTACATTAATTATGATATAGTATAATATAATAAACAAAATATTATTTGTATAATATAAAAATAAAAACGTATTTGTTCTTATTAAATATATTTTAGCAAAATGTTATCTTATCGCTATTTATTTAAATAATTACAAATTTCAAATAAGTACAAAAATATATTATAAAATTAAATTGAATTACATAATTGAAAAAGAACAATTAAAAATATTTATAGCACAACAAATCTTTAAATAAAAAAAATATATGCATCGTGTAATCATTAAACATCCAATGACAAAAATATTCATTAGATCTTAAATAAAAAAAAATTCAAAAAAATAATTATTATGATTAGAACAACATAAAAAATATAATAGAAAAAATAATATACAAAATGAATGATAGAAACGAAACTTTTCATTAAATTGAAAATTCTTGAATGAAAGTTTACAAAAATTATTACCAACTTGAAAGTTTTATAATACAACACTGTTGATTTTTCAACAATTATAAGTCATCCGCAGAGTATAGTTCAATAAAAATTTGTTTAAATTAAATCTATAGTCTCTGCGGCAAAAAATGTAAGAGTTATAAGGTAAATTGCTTGGTCATGATCTATCAAAATTAAATGTTTAGATGAGTCAATTGAATCTAGATCTTTTTTAACTTTTTTTTCTTAGAAACATTCTTTGTAGAGCTATTCGTAGATAACTTTTTATTTTTTGTAGGATTATCAGTTGGTGTATCAAAATTATTTATGCCATCAACATTGTTAGATAGTTCTATGTTATTTACTAATTTTTCTAGTTTGATTATATTAATTGTTTTATTAAACACATAGGAGTCTATAATTTCTTGCGGAATTCTTTTGAGCAACACAAAAGGATCTATAAATACCAAAATTATAAATTAATTTTTTGATAACAATTTTATACAAAATAAATCATTTTCATATTAAAAAGTAATTATGTAATTATAAAATGACGAAATCTTTTTTATAAACACCATTGGAACTTTAAAAAAGAATATATAAAAATAAATATTACTATGATAATTTCATAAGAATTCGTATGTTATTTTCAAAACAAAAATGAAAAATATGTTTAAAGTAACGTGGTGATTTGCTATTCGCTTAGTGTAGAAGGGTTTCCGAGGAACTCCTTTAGGGTTTCTTGTCATAAACGCAACTAGGAAACAAGAAGGTGCTAAGCCCCTCAATTGACAAAATTACCCCCAACATTATTTTAATTTACGTATGACTTATAACNTTCAACATCTTTTAATTTACGTATGTTTTGATATGACTTATAACTTATAATACAACAATAATTTTGTTGAAATTTTCTTTTCTTTAAAATTTAAAAATAGCCATTATTCAGCCGTATCTTACAAAAAGTTTTGTGGGTCGATGATAATTTTAGGACAAGTACATATTAAGTTATTATTTCAACGAAATTATTATTTGATCAAAAATAATAAAATATGTCTAACTTAGTTGGACATTCTGTATAATTGTTTGGGGTAAGAAGAAAATCCAATTAGCACCCTTCAAAATGTTAGTTAAATGTTAGATTATTTTATGATTTAAGTGTTATATGTATAATTAAGTGACTTAATTAGACTAAATTTAATTATTAAAAACTAAAGCTCTATGAAATATACTTCATTAATTTATTACTTGAAACATTAAAACAAAATATAACTCTAAAATACACTAATACAAAATTAAAAATATATTATTTATATATTTTTAATAATACAGTAGAATCTCGGTAATCCGACACATATCAGACCACGCTACTGCCGGATTAACGAAAACGCCGGATTAATGGGGAGTTCACAAAAAACGCATTTTTACTAATTGAATTTTACATTTTTACTCATATTAAAAAATTAATAGTCTTATTGTATTTTATTATACAATATTTACAATACAAATATAAATACATACATAATACATACATACAATATGTTGTGTCAGTTAATATTTTGACTGGACCGGTTTTAAAAAGTCATCAATTTTTTTTTGTTTTTTTGTTTGAAATGATGCCTTTAATACTTCTTCTTGAAGTCGCTTAAGCACCAGAATATCACGTGCATCTACTCCGTTCTCTTCTGCCCATGTAATAGACGTAGTAAAGGAATCTATTGCAGTGGAGTGAGTTATGGTTTGAACAGCTAATTCTCCTTCTTTGTCGTCATAATTCCCATCATTATCCTTTTCTTCGGCCATCACTTCCTCGACTATATCATCATCTGTCAAGAACTGGTTATTTTCTTCTTCTTCGCCGTCGATCCATCGCCTTATATCGTCTGTTTTTAGTTGGTTTTGTTCCTCATTGTCCATGAGTTTTTCTGCAATCGAAACTTGTAATTCATTTAACTCAGTACTAAAATTTTCTTCATCATCTTTTAGGTTGAGAGCAGTTTTCTTTTTGTATTGTTCAAATAAACACATGTTTGGCCATAAATTTTTCCATGAACAAACAATCACCTTTTTACTTACATTTGACCAAGCATTCGCAAGAGAAAATACTACATCCTTTAAATTAATTTCTTTTAAAGATTTCATCACACAGTCATCTGTAGACAAAACTTTGTACAANGTATAAAATGAATGATTGATTAGCTGTTACTATCAAACTATTATATATATTCTAACTGTGGAATTTGATTTTTTTTTATAAGAAAAACAAAGGCGTCATTTGGGTGAAGACAACTAGGCTTTTTCCCCAGACTAAATTTTCAATACATATTGGGGCCGTATAGTGTTTTAAATCGCAATATTAGCAAGACACAAAATATCAAGAATGTGATGCAGCTGACATACTTTACCCACTCATTCTATGCACATGTGTATATTATTATAAAAAAAATGACACTTACTCATATGATTGACTTTGTCGGATGGTATTTCCACATTAATTGAATTTGATTTGTTTTCATTAGATATCTCGACGTTTGACCCGTCAAGAGTTTTATTCTTACGATTTGAATTAAGAGCATAAGAATTATTTACTTTGTTTTCATATTTATTTGTTAGTCTAAGTTTTTTACGTGAATCGTTAACGTCGTCGAGATGAGCTCTCTTCTTTGATTGAAAAGTTTCAGGCTTTTGAATCCTTAAATCCTCGTCTTCATCAAATGTTAAAAGATCATTATAAAATTTTATAATTTTACGTTTACTTGTAAGTTTGCCAACATAATGAGGATTTAAACGTATGTTGATGTCGATGACAGGAGTTCTATTCTTTTTTCGATACATCTTGTGGGTTTTAGAATTGTTAATTCTTACATTTTCTTGTTCACCAAAATTATTTACTATTTCGTCTGCATTAGTTTTTTTACTAGACATATAATAGTCTATAATGTCTTGTGGAATTCTTTCGATCAATACAATCGGATTTATAAATTCAAAAATTATAAATAATTTTTCGATAAATATTTCATGTAAAATATATAAATTGTAAATTAAAAACAAAATATATTAATATAAAATAAATTAAGCTTACTTACAAGAATTGTTAATTCTTACATTTTCTTGTTCGCCAAAATTATTTACTATTTCGTCTGCATTAGTTTTTTTACTAGACATATAATAGTCTATAATGTCTTGTGGAATTCTTTCGATCAATACAATCGGATCTATAAGTTCAAAAATTATAAATAATTTTTTGATAAATATTTCATGTAAAATATATAAATTGTAAATTAAAAACAAAATATATTAATATAAAATAAATTAAGCTTACTTACAAGAATTGTTAATTCTTACATTTTCTTGTTCACCAAAATTATTTACTATTTCGTCTGCATTAGTTTTTTTACTAGACATATAGTAGTCTATAATGTCTTGTGAAATTCTTTTGATCAATACAATCGGATCTATTGATTCAAAAATTATAAATATTTTATGTAAAATATATAAATTTTATATTAAAATATATTAATATAAAATAAATTAATCTTACTCATATGTTTGACAGCTTCGGATGGTATTTCCATATTAATTGAATTTGATTTGTTTTTAGTAGATATCTTAGCGTTTGACTTATTGCGAGTTTGATTTTTACGTTTCAAAATTAACGCATCAGAATTTTTTACTGGTCTTTTATTGACAGTTGTTTGTTTTTTAGTAATTTTCTTAACATAGCCAACATTAAGTGTCTTTTTTGATTGAAACGTCTTGGAAGTTTCAGGCTTTTGAATCGTTGTATCCTCGTCTTCATAAAATGTTAAAAGATCTTTATAAAATTTTATAATTTTACGTTTACTTGGACGTTTGCCAATATAATGAGGATTTGAACGTATGTTGACGAGAATGGAATTTGATTTTCTATGTCCAGTTTTTAGATGGCTTATAGGCTTATTGCTTTTGGTTTTCATGTTTCACTATTCGTGCAGAGATATAAATTAAATATGTGACTACAAAAAATCNGTGCAGAGATATAAATTAAATATCTGACTACAAAAAATTAAATATTAAAGAGGTTTTGGGCAACTTTTGTGGGGTTTTCGGGCTTAAGAAAATTTCCGTGTTACACATAAATCGCCCGTGACTGTTAAAAAATATTAACTTAAACAATATAAATTTGTAGTCATGGAAACAAGAAGAAAAATTTATATAAAAACAAATAAATTGGAATAGACAATCGCTTTTGCATTATGTAAAACGAAAAATACATTGGCCATTAAAACTTTTANACAATCGCTTTTGCATTATGTAAAACGAAAAATACATTGGCCATTAAAATTTTTAGCCAGAAAAATTAAAACTAAAATTATATTTATTGTTGTAAAAGTTTGTAAAATTTCCATTTTCTTCATATAAATTTTTTTTTATTGTTGCATATTATATTTTTATAATTGTAATTGAGATATTGAAATACAACATTGTGTAAATCGACATAAATAAGTTTCAAAAATTTTAAGATAGACAAATTAGTTATAAACTCACTTCAAATTAACAAAATATAAAGGGATGACATATTTATTATATGAATATTTTTCTTATAAATAATGATTAATTATCAGTCTTATCAGTCATTCTAATTTGATCAGATATTGATTCTTGTTCTAAACCATTTAATTTCTTGTAAAATAAAAATTATATTAGAATTAATAATTTTTTTTTAAGATGTAATATGCAATTTATCAGTCATGGAGTATTTTTTATGTTGGTATGGACCAGAGGTTCCCAAACTTTTTTTCTCCGTAGACCACGTGCCAATTTTTTCCATTTTCGTAGACCCCTAAAATTGAATTTTTATAAATTCATCTAGGTGTTTTTTATGCTTACACGAAACTGCTCACCTGAATAGGCTTTACTATAGAATGCATTTTTTTTTAAATAAAAAACGTGTTGTTTTTAATAGTACATTTATTTAATGACAATATTCAAATAATATTTTAGTAATTAAAACGATAGCAAATGCAAATTAAATGAAATAATATAGAGAAAAATCAAGGTTAGTGTTAAAAAATATATCTTTAATGGGAAAGATGAACCTGATGCTTTGATAGTAAATGTTCAATATTTGGCTTCAAATTAGTCAGGTTTAACCTCAAATCTCCTCTATCAGTGATTTCCAATCTATTTCTTTTTTTTGTAAGACGATTGACAACTGTGCTGAAACCCTTTTCCACGCAGTATGATGACGGAAAATCTATCAAAAACTTTCTTGCGATACTCCATAAAGCAGGATAAGTAACAGGTATGTCTCTCTGAAGCCAAAATTGCTAATACCCATTTCTAAATTGTACCTTAAGTTCTTCGTTAGTACTTATTCCAATCAGTTCTTCTTGTAATATGATATCCGATTCTTCAATGTCACTGTATGGATTAATGATGCATTGTGGTATTTTCATTGTCAAAATATCCTCAAATATGTCCTTTGAAACGTACGTTGAACGTAGGCTGAAACGTCATCATCCTGACATTTCATATGTGACAATTTGGGAAACTGAGAAAATTCACGTCGTCCAATGTTTTGCTTCATTAAATTAATTCTAACCAGAAAAGCTACAATAATTGATTTTGTTTTTATTAAATTTAGATTTTCACCTTGTAACTGCAAGTTAACTTAAGCAAATAAATCTGTTAAATAACCAATGTCTTGCTTTTTTTGGATCAAATTTTCTTTTAATATAGGATCTTTATCGTCCAAAAACTCTAAAACAGTCTCAAAAGTGAAAAAAATCTTGTCAAACATAATCCTTTCGATAGCCACCGTACTTCAGTGTGAAGGAGTAATCGTTGAAAATGTTCGTCATTTTCTTCACATAACTGTGCAAATAATCTAGAATTCAATGCGTTACTCCGAATTTTGTTTACTGCGTTTATGATTAATTGAAGAGATTGATGTAATCTGGCACTTAGATTTTTAGCAACTAAATGTTGTCGATGGATGACGCAGTGAATTGCAAAAAGCTCGGGTACATATTGTTTTAAATAACTTAAAAAACCACGATAGCGCCCAACCATGGCAGGTGCTCCATCTGTTGCTACTGATATTATATTTGTTAAAGGAATCGCTTTTTCCGTGAAATAATCTTTCAAAACATTGAATATGGATTCACCTTTTGTGTCTGTAGTCAAAGTTCTTGCGAAGAGCAGTTCTTCATGGATTTCTTGGTCCATAACAAAACGAACATATGCTAATAATTGTGCTTCATTACCAGGCAAAGTAGACTCATCTAGTTGTATTGAGAAATAGGTTGTTTGCAAATAATTACACAAGTAACTTTCAACATCATGACTCATTTCATCAATATGTCTTTGAACTGTATTGTTGCTCAAAGGAATTTTTTTGAGTATATCATATGCAGGTCTGTGTAAAACAGTTTTTATGACTTCTTCAATGGCTGGCAAAATTAGTTGTTCCCCGATAGTATGAGGCTTACCTGATTTTGCTATGAGCAGTGAGATATTGTAAGACGCCCTCAAGCCATAATCGTCTTTTTTTAACGTGACAGCAAACATACCATCCAGAGTGGGTCTCTTCTGGATTTTTCTTTCAGTGTTTGAAAGTGTGTTAAATCTTTACGTGTTTTTTCAGGGTGACACCTTTTCAGATGATCTTCTAGTTTAGACGATTTCATAGCGTCGTTGCTTAAAATTTTATTACATAAAAAACACATTGGTAGGTTTTTGTCCGGCAATGATGGAATGAAGCCGAACTTCAAATAATCAATGCTATATTGCCTAAATTTCTTTTTAAATTCAGCCATAATTAATAGCACTTATTATATCTGTACAAATATTAACCGATTTATGAATTAGTAAAACTTTGAAAAACGGCAAATGACGTACACAAAACAATCGACAGTTACGGATAAACTCAGTATTACTAAACGCTACAGTAATATATATATATTCCAACCATCGCCATTGTCCAATATCATTTTTATCGTATTATTCTTATCGTACTTATTAGTTATTAGTGAGATCTAAAAATAAACGGTTGAATTTGTAATCATCAACTGTAATGAGTAATTTAATCTTATCTTAATATTCCGATATTCACATTCAACTCCGCATCGTCGCACAGATATTTTTCGTGAAAATGACGACACGCATTTTTGACTTTTAACTCTCGTGGACCCCTATTTACACATGATGCACCCCTAATTTTTTTTTCGTTGACATGGATCCCTTGCTGGTCAAAAAAAAATGTATTTTCTATAATTCGAGTAAAAAAATTTTAATTTTGGAAATTTAACTTTTCTTAACTCTAAATCAGTGGTGGGCAAACTTTTTTAATGGGGGGCCACAAAGTTTAAGAAATTCTAGAGAAGGGCCAGGATTATAGAAAAAATGCATTTTGTATTAAGGCTTTAAACTATTTAATATTATAAAAACTTTACAGCATTACACATAAATGTTACAAATTACCTTTTATCTTAAAAAATAATCAATTTAATTTTTATTCGAAGGCCCAACCATGGTAGGCGTGTGAGACATATGAAATTGTTTTTGATTTTCCACAATATTTTCAAAAGCAGGTTCCAGCTGTGACGAAGCAACTTTCAACAGAGAGAAAAGGTGTTCATCAGTCAATCGGTTTCTGATTGAGTTTTTCTGCAATTTCATGGTCGAAAAAGTCTGTTCGCACACATAAGACGACGCAAACATCGCCATCATTTTCTGGGCATGAGCAATTATCTTTGGGAATTCAGCTTTCGGCAGTGCTCTATAAAAATCTAGTTTTGTGGAATTCAAAAACAATTGCTTTAAATGGGTACTGCACTGCATTTCAATAATTTCCAATTGTAATTCTGCAGATACATTTTCCGGATCTACATTAAATGGCATCGAGAAAACATCTAGCGATGATTGAATGTTCTTAAAATCTTGAAATCTAGTTTGAAATTCTGTGTGAAGTTTTTTCAACGCCTGACTGTATTCTTTTATCTTGTTCTCTCTCACTGGTGACATGGATTTTAAACGTAGAAAGTGAGTTAAGTCGTTCTTCGCCATGCAGTTATGAAACAGAAAAAGCTGAGTTTTAAATGATTTCAAACAACCCCAAGTCTCATCTATAAATTGGTTCCTTCCTTGTAATTTTTTATTTAATTTGTTATAGTGTTCGAGCAAATCAGTAAAAAATGCAAAATCGGTACGCCAATCTTTGTCTTCGAAGATTTGGAAATCGGACCATTTGTCTGTTTTATTCTTTAAGAAATCTTGTATTTCCTCTTTTAAATTCCAAACCCGTTCAAATGCATATCCACAACTTAACCATCTTACTTTCGTGTGGTAAAGAAGGTCAGAATAATCTGCGTCGACTTCAACCAGAAATTCTTGGAATTGTCGGTGTACCAATCCCCGAGATCGAATCGTATTAATTAGTTTTGAAACCACATTAAGTACATGGGTAATATCTATTGCAGCTTTACAAAGGACGTCCTGGTGAATTATACAATGTAAAAATACAACATCGTGATTAGGATTCTGGTTCCGAAAAATACCTGAAAATCCCGCGTTTTTTCCGACCATATT